GTTGCTGGTAGGAATGCAAAACATTACAGGCACAGTGACAGTACAGCAATTTCTTATGAAATCAAACTCAGTAATCCCACACCTAGGCATTTAAGATAACTTTTTAAAAATTAACATTCACCCAAAAACCTAAGTCAGTATTAATGGCTTTATTCAAAACAGCCCTGTATTAGTCAGCCTTTCAACACTATACTGAAATACCTAATACAAGCTACTTGTGAAGAAAGGTTTATTTAGTTCACAATTACAGAGGTTTAATGTCAAAATTAAAAAAAAAAAAAAAAAAACAGCACAGGCTCTGTGGCAAAGGCCATCCCTTGGCTGTGCCACATTATGGCAAAGAGCAACAACAGAAGCACCAGCAGGAGCAAGGTTATATCTTGAGCCAGGAAGCAGAAGGTGGGAGAGCCAAATTCAGGCTTTTCCAATCCTCTCAAAGTCCCACAAGAACTACCTATCCAGCCACCTCCTGGCTATAACCTAAGGCCTGCCCACTAGGCTCTACCTCCCAAAGGTTGTATCACTTCCCAAAAACACCACCCAAGGGACCAAGGTTTCAATCACGATATACCCTGAAGGACACTCACACCATACCCAAACCAAAGCAAGTCCCAAACTGGAAGCCACTCAAATGCCCTTCAACTGGTAAATGGATAAACACTATACTAGCAAAAAGAAGGAATGAACTAATGATGCATGCCACTATATGGATTAACCTCAGATGTATTATACTAAGGTAGTATGACCAAGGTATCTCCAAAAAAATTCCACATGTGAATATGTGGAAAATAAGCAAAACATGGCAACAAGATTACTCTGTAAAATAGAGTTATCATGACCCATGTTTATTAGCTGCTACATAGGTTCAGTTGTTATAACTTAATTCCAAATAACAGGCTACTCTCTGACCTGTGATGGTTTTATAATAGGAAGGTCTGGGCTGGTATGCTGTCAGCAATATTGACTTTAATGTTCTTGCTCTAGAACTCCAAAGGCAGCTGTTTTCAACTTTGCTGCACCTAGGAATCACATGGAGATTTTTTAAAGTGAGAATGTCAAAGTTGCTTTCTTCCTTTAAAAAAAAAAAAGAAAACGACAATCCTTAATGCTAGGCACTGCAACAGACATAATCAATTCATAGCAAACAATTCTAGATTAATTAATTCACAGCAAACAATTCTAGATTAATTTTAAGCACTGCAAACACACTTAATCATGACAGGCTAATGACAGACTTTCCCTCTGCATGCTAAGTTCAAGTGTCAGAACAAAAGTCTTAAGCCTTAGGCTTTAAGTCCAGAAGATACACACTCACTTAGACCATGGTAACTAGATCAGGAATTAAGGTAGGCTTCTCCTGGGGTGGAGCTGACTGCTCTCACCAGGGTCAAGATGTGGCTGTAGAGTTTGAGAGCGGTGAGGAAAACGCAGAGGATCAGCAAATGATGAAAAGTGTTGGGATGTCAGTCCAGGTCCTAGTCAGGCTCTCAGCATGAGGGCATCATTATCAGCTGGCTAAATGTCTGTTCATTTGCTCTATTATTTATACCAAATTTGGGGGCATTTGACCCCCTCCTTTCAATCCTTTATCAGATGCCATGGGATTTCTCAGTGATATCATTTACCCTGGGGTTAAAACATCTGGTCTTGTCATCCCCACCCTGATCTTTTCACATTTCCCTCTTAGACAGCCTACCAGAGGCTTCACTATTGAGTTTATCAGGGTGAAAAGTGACTTGTTTGTGCCAGAAGGCCACACTGGAGGACTCCATTAGGCATGCCTAGTAAGACTAGAGGTTTCAAACTGGAGTTTTTAAAAATAAATTTTAGAATGGAGTTGCTTAGGCTCAGGCCTAAGGCCATCCTCACAGTGGTAGAGCTCTTGCCTGGCATGCGTGGGGCACTGGGTTCGATCCTCAGCACCACATAAATAAATAAAATAAAAGTATTGTTGTGTCCATCTACAACTAAAAATTAAATTTTTAATTACTAAAGAGAAAATGCAATTCAAGCAACTAAGACTTCTCTTTACTAGCTGTAGAAAAAATAAAAACATAGACATCAATATCAAACAAGCAAACAACAACAACAAAATACAGATAATACCTATCTTGGCTGGGGAGGTGGGAAGGGGCCAGGCTCATACACTACTGTCAGGAAATGTAAAAGTGAACAGCCTTCTGAAAAAGCAATATGGCAACATGTACAACTAGAAATATGTAATACATTCCAATAAGAATCTTTCTCACAGAAATAAATCCAACACACATTAAGGACATATGTTCAGGGGAATTTTTATTGTAACACTGCTGTAGCAACAAAAAGAAAATAGAAAAAAAAAACTAAAGCAGAAATGAAAATGAAGTAACAATCAATAGGAAACTAAGTAAATTCTTATCTACCAAGAAAAGTTTGAAAAAATAATAAATGAATACATTTTAATATGAAAATATCATCAATATCATCACTAGCTCCCCTGCAGGTAAACAGATGACAGTTGCCCTCTCCTTATTAGGGGACGGGATATATTCCATATGCTCCAAGACCCCCAGTGGATAAAACCCCATGATATCACTCCTTTCAGGGGATCCCCTTGCTCAAGTTCATATAAGATCAGTGCTCTGACTGAACACATTGCCTTTAATCACGTTTCCCATTCATGTCTTCCATCACAAATCTAATGCCTTTTCCACGGTAATTAAGCACTAAACACACGATGTGGCTGAAATTTTACAGATTGAGATGCAAAAGTAAAACTAGCAAGAATTTTGCTTCTTCAAAAGTTCAGGAGGGGCTAGGGTTGTGGCTCCGTGGTAAAGCGCTTGCCTGGCAAGTGTGGGGCACTGGGTTCAATCCTCAACACCACATAAATGTAAAATAAAGATATTGTGTCCACTTAAGACTAAAAAATAAATATTAAAAAAAAAGTTCAGGAGGGGCTGGGATTATGGCTCAGTGGTAAAGCGCTTGCCTGGCAACTGTGAAGCACTGGGTTTAATCCTCAACACCACGTAAAAATAAATAAATAAAGCAAAGGTATTGTGTCCATCTCCAACAACAACAACAAATTTATAAAAAAAAAAAATTCAGAGGATTCCATCTTACTATGAATGTTAGCAACCTAAGCATTGGATCTTGCTTCTTTTGTTTCTTAGTAAGTTGAGAACTTCCATTTTCATTTAAATGAAGCACTTTGTGGCCATTATTAAGTAAAGCAAGGATTACTTACATATAACTTTTACAATGTCACACTCCTCTGTTAATCTGATAACTGAGGTGATAGTAAGTGACTAATGGGGTGGGTAGTCCATGCAGTATACATGTCATATGGATAATTCACATTCCCTGGGAACAAGACAACATGAAATTTCATCACACTATTCAGAATGGTACACAATTTGAAACATTATTTCTAGAATTTTCCATGTAATAATTTCAGACCACATTTGCCCACAGATAAATGAAAAACAGAAAGTGAAACCACAGACAAGAGGGGATTAATCTGTCTCATAATATACTGGTTTATATATAAATAGATGCATACACAAAACTGAATGATGAGCAAAGCCTGTCCAAGGAAGGGGGCGTGACCCTTGTCCTTGGAAAGATCCACAGAGCACTCCTAGGCACATATATACAGGAGAGATCTGCCTGTGGCAGGTAGCCTTGACTCAGGCTAGGTGGGGACCCATAGCAACCCCCTAGCAGCCACCAATCAGCATGAAACAGGGAAAATACCTGGGATGCCAGATGACCCTCCCAGTAGATTATGGTGGTTGATAACATGTTGGGAAACCACGTAGTTCAGCAGTACTCCCCTCATGGCTTAAACCAATCAATTCAAAGGAATCCCCCTCTTGTACTTACCAATCACCCTTACCCACCTTGTTCCCACCAGTGAATGTACTAATCATGTTTTAGAGTTGTTTTATGGTTTTCCCGCAGTGTGTGATGATTTCCTAAGAGATGCTATGATGTATGTGAAGTCCCTGCTTTCCCCCAAAGAGTGTATAAAACTGCTGCAAACCCTGGGCTGGGGCCTCTCAGCGTCACCCGTTGCTGTATGCACGGAGGATGGAGCTAGTTCCCAATAAACACCTCTTTGCTGCTTACATCGATCTTGGTCTCTGGTGGTCTTTAGGGGGTCCCAAATTCGAGCATAACAGAACAAAATGGTAAGGGGACATGAGATGCTTTGCCTTTTCCTGAATAAGAATCTCAAAGTCTGGATAGTTAAACCCTACCCACCTCCATCTCACCTTTTCCACCTCACCTTTTCCACCTTAGCCAGTTATTTACCCTCACAACTCATGTATCTTTCTATAAAAAAATCCAATGGCTTCATCTCTTCTGTTGTCCTTTCCTGATATAAAAACAATATTTACACCATATATTTAATTTTTAAAAGTTACCTTTCATCTCATTAATATAGTTCATTTTTGTCTATTCCTGTGTTAGAAATCTCTTGGTATAAATCAGCATTAAGACTCAGTGTGTTATTCCAGTTTTCCTGAACTAAAATCCCTTTTTAAAGAAGGAATACCCTTCTTTATTGAAAGAATATACTTGTATCTTGGTACTGTTACAAATCCAAAGGACAAAACAAATTCGTGGTAGAATCTCAAAATTCTTTTATTATTTTGTATGTAAGTAAAGAGACAGATGGAAATAACAGATCACAGCACCATGTTTACCTTCTTTCCCAATTATTCTCTCTTGAAAAATATAGAATTCTTCACTATTATTCAGTGGATCACTATGGTCCACTATCTGCCTTTGTATGGCCTGGAAGCTAAAAATCATTTTTATATTTTTAAGGAGTGAAAAAGAAAATGTCTTGTGACACATGAAAATTATATAAAATTCAAATTTCAGCATCTACAAAGTTTTATTGAAACACAGCCAAGCTCATTCATTTCATCATATTATATTTTATTCATATTATCTAATGATGTTTTTACATTATAAAGATAGTTGAGTATGGGATGAAAGGACAAAAAAGACATTCTCTTTATAGGAAAAATTTGCCAACCTCTGTTCTATATCATACTACATAATCTTCATAATTTTTTTAATTTTACCAAAACATTCTCCCCTTTTTCCTTCCATATTCAGTATAAAATTCCTTTAATAATCTGTCTCCAGTCAAGCACATTCTTAATAGTCTTTAGGAATGCACAACCTCTGGTAATTTCCTTAAACATTCCTGGTCCCCTATGAACAGGAAGCCAGAAAGAAGGGCTTACAAATTTAAATGTTACAAATTAACATATCAAAACCAGAACTCAAATCTCAGCTGCCTCACAACCCCTCCAAGTCAAACCTAAGTCAAGACTGACTGCCCAATTAATGTCTTTCAAACTGCCTTACCTATGAATTCAGGTGTTTATGTACTGCTGTTATAATCCCTAGTAGCCAAACTAGCAACGCAGAAAAAAAGTTAATAAATGTATTTTTCTCGAGTTTAATCTTCAAGTTGTTAGCTACCAGAGACAGACACAGAGACAGAAGCCAAGGGAGAGCAAGAAGAAGAAAAGGTCAGAAAAAAATAGGCCTGTTGTAATTAGCATGTGTGATGCTAAAATCTTTACACCTTGGAAATGTGATGATGTTTTCTGCAATAACAGTTTCTGACAGGAGGTTAAAAACAACACGGTGTTTGATGAAAGCAGAATCACAAAACTTACACAGGAACAAATAGAACCACTTTTTCCCTAAACACTAACATTTGCTTATCTCTTTCAAACATTCTGCTTGCTGCTATGGAAGGCAGAAGAGGCAAACTACCTTTGCTACCAGCATTGTCACACCCCTCCCAGCATTAACTCCTCCCCAACTCCACCTACCTCAACCAGCAGACTTCCCCTTGCCTCACTTCTTCCAAAATCAGATCTTCGAAGATCCAGCCGCGGGAGAGCAAAGCAGAGAAACCATGATGCAAAAGTCTTGTGTCTCCCTCGCAAGTATCGTCTGCTATTATGGAAGAACTTAGCCCTAAAATTGGAAAGAATGGGCCTTGGCGCTCACCCGGTTAAGTTTTACTGAGCGCCTGGGGCGGTTGGACACCGAGCGAGAAGCTAAGGATATAAAGGTGAGCAGCAGAGTCGCGATATCCGCTCTAGTAGCTTCCATCCCAGAAGAGGCAGTCAATTTCGATAAAGCTCGCCAAGAAGGGGCAACAAGGGGCATCGGAAGCCTGCCATGGGAAGAGCCTACCTGCTCCTTAAACATTAAAAGGCTAAATCTCAACTAGTCGGAAGTGACGTGCCAGCTGAGACCGCAGGTCCGCCACGCAATTGGCCACCGCCTTAAATAACCATCCTTTCCCCAGACTGACCCGAAGAGAGGAAAAGTGTGGCCGAAAGCCCACAATCTGGGCCTCGACGACTTCCAGCCTCACCAGGATCAGCATCGCTTGGCCAGAGTCCAGGCCCGCAACCTGGACAGAACAGCTCCGCCAACCTGGGCGGTACGGCGCCCAGCGAGCAATGGGCTTCAGCTTTCCATCACGCGCATGCGCGGTCCTCTATCTCCGGAGGAGTCCTCAGGTCATCTGGACGCCGGCATTTCAGCTACCTGCAGCTCCGGGTACCTTCTCACCCTTGACGACTCCTGCTGGCCCTCAACTCCGGCCCCGCTCCTTCCTCTTCCGCAGGCACTGCTAGGCCCTCGCGCGTTAGCCCGCAGATACCCGGGCTTCCACTGACACGAGTCTCCGCGCAGCGCCGCTTCCGCTTCCGGCGAGTATTGTGTGTCGCGCCGCGGGGCGGGGGCGAGGGGAGGAGGAAGGAGGGAGGCAGCTCTCCGGCGGCTCCGCGCCCCGTACTCCCGGACCCGAAGCCGGGAAGGTAGGTGCTGTCCCGTTGCCGCGCTTAGGCCGGGTGCCTGCCCACACCTGCCGGCTCTGCACGCCGCGTCCCAGCGCCCGGCAACTGCGTCACCGGCCCCCCGCACGTAACCACAGCTGCCTCCGCCCGCCTAGGGCCCGGGCGGACGTTTTGCCGCCCCGGCGACGTCAGCGCGTCCGGCGTTGCTTGGCTACCCCGCTGTTCCCCCGTCCCGTTGCCGCTAGTCTCCCCGGGTGAAACTGACGCCGTCACCGCGGGTCTCGGCTGCGTCAGAGCGGCTGGCATCCCACCTTCACGTCACACCTCTTTCTCACCTGGACACGCACCCCTCCCTCCCCGACAACCACGACGTTTCCTCTTTCACCTCTCCAATTTCCCCGCCCCAGATATGGCCGGAGACCACGGAGATGGGGGTGGGACAGAGTTGTGGACCACCCTCATGTGAGGGTCACAAGGTGGAACCTGAACAGTAATAGAAACAAAATGAGGACGTCCCTGAAGTTTGTCCTTCTCCTGAGACATGAGGAATAGGAAAGACCAACCCAGAGGCACCCAGGGCCTAACACTCGCTGTCCTCTCCACTCTATTCCCCCAGTTCCAAGTCGTCTATTCTTCCCTAATGCATTCCTTATTTCTCTTTCCCACCACTTTGCCAGTCTGGATCCATCCTGGTCTCTAAATGTGCATAGAATCAATTCATCCAGGTCAGGAGGCCACCTAATGTCAAGAAGACTGGGGAAGGAGCAGACTAGTCAAAGTTGGATTCTAATGAGTGGAGAAAAATCATCCAGCCCAACTTCTCTCTTGATATTGAGGGCAGAAATTATGGCCCAAATAATTTACCAGCTCCAACTCCAAATTAAACACTTCCCACGTCATTATACAGAAACAATAATTGTTAATCCAACTCATTACGTAGTCACTTCTCTGTCTGTGCATAAACCTACCAAATTTCTTTCCTTTGGTGGGTCTCTTGGGTGTGGTGTGGAGGGCAGAGGGGTTACAGGACTAGAGAAATCAGCTTACTCCATGTATAAAAGTGTTGATGTTTTAGAGATGGAGTGGGGGACTAGTTTTCTGTTTTATAAATTATCCTGATGCATTTCCAACACTGAGACTTCACCTGAAGGCGATTTGATTGTCTCGTTACTTTTCTTTTAATTCCAACGCTCCAAAGGCTATTAGTTGCAGATACAGTATGTCCAAGGAATYAGTTATCAGTAGCTATTTTGAAGTCACCACTGAATATTTTGAATAGACTCCAAAGTTCTTTCTTCAAAGAAGTTATTGCCCTAGGCTCAGTGGTGTGTTCTTTAATAGAGTTGCTATACATTTATCACTTTTCAGCAGTTCCAGATATTCAAATACACACAAGTAGAAATGAAAGATTTCATTCCAAGAAGAGGACACACTTCTTCCTCTAGGCTAGTCCTGGTAAAAGGAAGAATAATTTCAAACATTCCTTAAAAGAGGAGATTGTTACCTTTGCCTAACTCATTCAGTTTATTACCCTTTGAAACAGGAATGACAGAGAATCAAGCTAAAGCTCCAGTGAACTCTTAACTCTTATGTGACACTAAACTTTAGAATATACCTAATTTAAGAAATCTTAATATCTCGACTTATGTGGCACTTTTTCATTCCTATGCTCCTCTTCTGTTTGTTAGGATAAAATCTCAAACTAAGATGCAATGATCTGGAACTACTGTTTCTAAGACACAAGTAGGGTGAGACTGGACCAGAAGTATGCTGGGCTAGAGTTCAAGGAAACTCATGTTTCTAACAAGAGGAAACAGAAATAAAAGAGAAGAGAGATGGGAGTTGTGTGTCAGTTTGCTGAAGAGGGGGAAAAAGTAAAACTTAGGTCAAAGACTGAGAGTCATCAAATTGAGAAATGGAGAAAAAGAGATTGTATATAGTGGAAGAGAAGATGGAAAATACCAAGTTGGGGTTAAATCTAGAGTTAAGGTTTAACCTGGGGATAAATATCAATCCAGAGATGCAAAAAAAAAAAATTCATCCTCCAACTAATATTTTTCCTTTCTCTGTCTCCGTACCCATCCCCAAGTTAAATAATGGCAGAGACAAGCCTGTTAGAGGCCGGGGCCTCTGCAGCCTCCACAGCTGCAGCTCTGGAGAACTTACAAGTTGAGGCAAGCTGCTCTGTGTGCCTGGAGTATCTGAAGGAGCCTGTCATCATTGAATGTGGGCATAACTTCTGCAAAGCTTGCATCACCCGCTGGTGGGAGGACCTAGAGAGGGACTTCCCTTGTCCTGTCTGTCGGAAGACATCCCGTTACCGCAGTCTTCGGCCTAATCGCCAACTAGGCAGTATGGTGGAAATTGCCAAGCAGCTCCAAGCTGTCAAGCGGAAGATCCGGGATGAGAGCCTCTGCCCCCAGCACCACGAGGCCCTCAGCCTCTTCTGCTATGAGGACCAGGAGGCCGTATGTTTGATATGTGCAATTTCCCATACCCACCGGGCCCACACTGTCGTGCCATTGGACGATGCTACACAGGAATATAAGGTGGGCCACCAGACACCTGATACCAATGTGGGAAAGAAGGGAGGAGCAGCAGAGAATGGCATACTCTTTGGGTAGAGGAACTTAAGTTCCTGAGGACAAGACTACATCTGGTCCTCATTATGTAGTTCCTCTCRTAGCTACATAAATGGGGGTACACAGTACATCTGATCAGTTGTCCTCTGCATGAAGAGTCATGGATGAATATTTGGTATGTGTGTCCTTGGAGTATATCATATTTTTCATAAGTGAGTGAAACCTGTGGCAAAGATCAGATTGGGAAGAACTGAAAAGTATTCTGGTTTCTTCATTCTGCCTCGCTGCTCGGGATACTTGTTTTCCCATCGGTATTGGGAATAGGTAACATTACTTTAGACTGATACAAAGTTGAACTCTAGTGTGTTGTTTGCATCTTCCCCAGATAATGGGTAACGTGGCGCCTTGTCAGACTTACTGCTGGGACACAGGGTAAATGTTTGAGAAATAGAAACTAAAGATTTTAGTGTCTTCATCACATACTTAATTATATTAATGAAATCTGGAAGCAAGAGAATTAAGGTAATTTATAATATATTACTATATATGTATATGTATAATAATCAAGTAATAATAATAATTAAGTGGGTAGATTTAGATAGGAGGATAGATTTAAAGAAGGGTATCAGGGTACAAAAGATGGGGTGGAAAAGGACATCCCAGGAACAAACCTACATTCTCAGCAATCTGGAGATTGCTTGGGGCTGGGGATGTAGTTCAGTGGTAGAGTGTGTGTTTAATATGCACAAGGCCCTACTTTTGATCCCCAGCAATAATAGGCAGTTAGTTGTCCATAAGAAAATGGATAGGGAAGGACACAGAATTGATGAGAGCTAGACAACTATATCTGATTCAGTGGGAGGAAGTTGGGTAAGCAGGATGAATTAGGGCTAAGCTGTAGCAGGAGGAGGGATCTCTAAGAAGTTGACATCTCAAATTGTTGTCTACAAAGAGAGTTGGATCAAGAGATGGTAAAACTGATAGAAAGCAAACAAATGGTTTAAAACAAATGTTGGAGCTGGGGATATGGCCCAGTGGTAGAGCACTTACCTAGTGTGTGCAAGAACTTGAGTTTGATCCCCAGCACATACAAAAAAAAGAAGAAGAAATTTTTTAAAAAATGGGTTAACCTCTTGAGCAGTGGATATACCAACCAACCCCAAATGTTATCTCTCCCACTTCCTCCCTAACCCTCAGGAAAAACTACAGAAGTGCCTAGAGCCCCTGGAGCAGAAGCTACAGGAGATCACTCGATGCAAGTCCTCTGAGGAGAAGAAGCCTGGAGAACTCAAGGTAAAGACAGGCAATCCCATTCATGTTGTTTTACAAAGTATTTGTAAATGAGGGAATTAACTACACATTGTTTAATCCACTGGTTCCAGTATATTAGAAAAATGCTGTTCTCTCAAAAATGATGATAATTTATTACACTTTATTGTCACTAAATACTGTACTTAAATTACTTGTCATGAATTAAGAATTGAGGAAAAGAATGTAAGCAATGAAGGATAAAACAAGATATCTAATCTGGTAAATTGAGGGAGTTCTTGTCTGTTTATCTCCTTTTTTTCATTAAGCGAAAGAGATTGCTAAGWAGGTAGGGATAGGACTTTCTTTGAGGAGAGAAGAATTTGGAAGATTCACAAGGGAGAAGGTTAAAAGGAGCTGACTAACAGCTCCTAAAACTGCCTGGTGACATCTGGACCACATTCAAGTAACTCAAGTAAGGTAGAAAATGCAGGTTTATTCCTAGAATGTCCTTCCCCTCCCCATCCTTCACCTATAGAAGAATCCTGTCCATCCTTCAGTTAGAATAAAAGCTACTTCCTATTAGGACTTTCATGGCTCTTCAGAAATTAGTTTTATTAAATTTTATACAATTTTGCATCTTTTTCATAGCATTATCTTATTTGTAGAATGGCATTTTGATGTCTAAGTTATTTCTTCTATTGGATGGTAAATAATGAGTAGTAACAAATGTAACTAATATTAGTTCTGTGCATTAATTCATTGGAAGTCCATGGCTTTCCAAATTTATAAGGTCATACTAAATCTTAGGGTTCTGGGCTGGGGTTATGGCTCAACGGTAAAGTGCTTGCCTAGCACGTGCAAGGCCCTCAGCACTACATAAAAGGTATTGTGTCCAACTACAACTAAGAAATAAATACTTTTTTAAAAAAATCTTAGGGTTCTTCCCAAGTTGGAAGTCTAAGAGTTCAGGCCACACTTGAGACATTGGGATATAGAAAAGTTAGATGACAAATAGAAGAAGAAGATCCTAAGGCCATTTTTAACATGGGTAATTTTAGATACTCTGTAAGGTAAAGATTATTACCCCCAGTTTACACTAGAGAAAAAGAGGCTTTTTCTAGTCCAACATCATGTATCCATTAAGTGGCAAAATCAGGGACACTAGTTCTTTGTAAATCAGTAAGTATTTATTTAGCTCCTGGTATAGGCCAAGGCCTATATTTGACATTATAAAATAATGATGAACAAAAACACAGTCCCTGTCCTCCTGAGTTTAAAGTCAGGTGGAGAAAATAAATAATGACATAGCACAAAAAGCACAGCTGCAAGTTCATAAGACAATAATATAGGTAAGGCACAGTGGCACACACCTTATAATCTCAGCTACTAGAGAGGCTAAGGCAGAAGGATCACAAGTTCAAGGCCAGCCTAGGTCTTAAGACCCTGTCTCAAAATAAAAGGGGCTAGAATGTAATTCAGTTGTAGAGCACCCTTGAGCTCAATCAACCTCAGTACCAGAACATGGGTGGGGAGGGGAGGAAGACAGCATAGAAATCTAACTTTGTTAAAGGTTTCCTGAAGAAGTAATAAGTATTTAGAGTGGAAATTCAGGGATCACCAGAAATTAAACATGGGTTTTAAAGTAAAAACACTAATTATTTAATAATGAATGATAATATTTCAACAGAAAACAATTATTATTATTTAGTGCTTCATATATTTTACCAAAACAAACATTCAGGTTTTTAAAAACTTGAACAAATTTTTATCACAAAAATAAAACTCTTTTTAAGTCACTGATTACTCACAAAGTATTTTCACAACATTCGTGACTTCATACATGTACTTAGAGTAATGATGTCTAGCTCATTCCACCATTATTCCTACCCTCTTGTCCCCTCCCTCCCCTTTGCCCTATCTAAAGTTCCTCCATTTCTCTCATGCTCCCTCCCACCAATCACCATTATGAGTCAGCATCTTCATATCAAAGAAAACATTTGGCCTTTTTTAGGGGGGACTGGCTTATTTCACTTAGCATTATATTCTCCAACTTCATCCATTTATCTGCAAATGCCATAATTTTATTCTCTTTTAATGCTGAGTAATGTTTCATTGTGTACATATATAGATATATAGATATATCAAAGTTTCCTATCCATTCATCTACTGAAGGGCATCTGGGTTGGTTCCACAATTTACTTATTGTGAATTGTGCCACTATAAACATTAATATGGCTGGGTCCCTGTAGTATGTGTTTTTAAGTCCTTTGGGTTTAGAACAAGGAATGGGATAGCTGGGTCAAATGGTGGTTCCATTCCAAGTTTTCCAAGAAATCTCCATAGTGCTTTCCAGATTGGCTGCACCAATTTGCAGTTCCACCAGCAGTGTATGAGTGTGCCTTTTTCCCCATATCCTCGTCAACACTTAAACTACCACAGAAAATATTCTTTTTGTGACCATTAGAATTCGTGTTCTTCCCTTTCCCTCATCTCCACCACATAAAAATGAAGGGAGGAAGGGAGGGAGGGAGTGAGTACAACTACAGCTAAAAAAATAAATATTAAAAAAAAAAAATAGTTGGTAGAGGTTGAGAGTATAGGAATCCCCAGTACAGCAAAAAACAAGTTTGTAATTAACTATGCTAAAATGAAAAGTATAGATGAACTAATCTATCTACATAATTTTAAAGAGACTATTATATCCTAATGTAATATGATATACCATAGACATATTTATAATAAAATATGATGTATAACATTTGGGTATGACAACTCTGAAAGACACTATAGCATAGTTGTCAGCTTGCACCTACATGCGACATAAACAATACAATAAATACTTGTTCAAACTGAGGCAGATGTGTGGTAATGTGACTCACATTCCACAAACAGCTCTTGGTGACATGATTTTTCAAAAGAATGACTTTTGCTAAAGCTCTAATAAGATCTAGTCCTAATGAGTTTGTTTAGTTATTGCTCTAAGAAAATAAKATCTAGTCCTAATGAGTTTGTTTAGTTATTCCCAGGAAATTCTGGTATATTTAAACCATGTAAGAATTCCTCTGTGTGTTTACATAAAATGACATTCAAGTCCATACCTACATGTTTAATATCCAGCAGAACATAGAAAATGATGAAGGAAGCTGGGTGTGGTGGCACACACGTATAATCCCAGTGATTTGGAAGGCTAAATCAGGAGGATTGCAAGTTCAAGGCCAGCCTCAGCAACTTAGTGAGGCCCTTAGCAACTTAGCAAGACCCTATCTCAGAATAATAAGGGTTGGGGATGTGACTCAGTGATTAAGTGGCCTTGGGTTCAATCCCCAGTACCAAAAAGAAAAATGATGCAAGACAGTTTACCATGTAGGATTGTCTGTCACACATTGGAGGAATAATATCCTTAGAGGGACATGACACCCTTGTTAAGAACCACTGTCCTACAAATACAGAGTGAAAAAAGAGAAGGGATGGTGGGTTTTAAAGAGGGGAAATCTGGGACTGGGGCTGAGGCTCAGTGGTAGAGTGTTAGCCTAGCATGTATGAGACACTGGGTTCGATACTCGGCACCACATATAAATAAACAAATAAAATAAAGGCATTCTGTCCATCTAAAGAGCCGGGGGATCTTTTCTTTCTTCCTATTTACCACTGTTAGGAATTTTAAACTTTTGCCTATATAGCACCCCTAAACATGCTGGCACACAGGCTGTATCTTACTCCATGGCAAACATGAGAATATATTCTGTTCTAGTGTGCACTTGAGAATGCAGCAGTAGAGAGTGAAGCGGCAAGTGGCCCTGGAACTAGAACTAGTCAGCCTCCATTGGGAACTAGCTTGCAGTGCAGAAATGCCAGGCTCGTAAGGCCAGCCTAAGCTTTACATTCTCACCCTCTCTTTGCCCTTAGTCCTGCCATTCAGTCCTTATCCACTGCCTTACTTCTACTTTTCCCTCTTGGGTTGATGCCTCCTCATCGGTCACATGAATCCTCCATTGGGGAGATCATTTCTTATTTCAGGGAGGAACAAGAGAGAGGATGCACTGAAATCCTTAGTGATAAGGCTGATGTTGGAGTCTTACATTATCAAATCTAAGAGTGTTAGAGGTTTAAATGTATGTGGTGGCAAACAGAAGGCATATTCCAAATTTCAAGCAACTGATTTACTAAAAAACATCCATAACCTGTTTCTGGGATGAAAACTACCAATTCTCAGAAATAACTTGAAACTATTTAACAGGTTCAGTTCTAAAATCTGCATATATGCTTTGTAACAACCCACTAAACTCTTACAGTTTGTGATAGTTTTCCAGTTCTCTGTTTTTTATCAAGTAGATATCTTACCATATACACATGATGACAGTCTTATCTTAATTTTCTAGTATTTTTACTTTCTCTTTGTTAACAGATTATATAAACTTCAGAGTTGGGAATAGCAGAAATATCTCTAGTATTCATAAATAGTAGATGTTATATTATTGATTTCTTATATCTTCAATATATTTTATTAAAACATGAAAATTAACTTTTGAGAAGTTTATTTACTGACAAACTTAATTTTCTTAGATAATGGGAAGGAGAGTTAGTAATCTCTCAATAGGCTGGGTATGGTAATGGCATGCCTGTAATCCCAGTGACTAAGGAGGCTGAGGCAAGAGGATTGGCAAATTCAAGGTCAGCCTAGACAACTAGCAAGAGTTGTCTGAAAATAAAAAAGCTGAGGGGCTGGGGATGTGGCTCAAGCGGTAGCGCGCTCGCCTGTCGTGCGTGCGGCCCGGGTTCGATCCTCAGCACCACATACAAACAAAGATGTTGTGTCCGCCAAGAACTAAGAAAAAATAAATAGATATTTTTAAAAATTCTCTCTCTCCCTCTCTCCCTCTCTCTCCCTCTCTCTTTAAAATAAATAAATAAATAAATAAATAAGTAAAAAGGCTGGGATGTAGCTCAGTAGCAAAGTGCCCTGGGCTCAATCTCAGTTCTGCAAAAATAATTAAATCAGTTTCCCACTGGTCTCCACTATCAAGTCATCAGTGGGTGATGGCACCATTCTTTATAGATTTCAGTAGAGAGAAAATGTGTCCTGTTAACTTATTTCCAATGACACTGGAACTCTTTGTAAATTCATGTACCTGGTGGATCATGGAGAAGCTACCCCCAAGCCCACTGATCCTGCTAATACAATATCCTCTTTCCTCAGAGACTAGTGGAGAGTCGTCGACAGCAGATCTTAAAGGAGTTTGAAGAGCTTCATAGGCGGCTGGATGAAGAACAGCAGGTATTGCTTTCAAGACTAGAGGAGGAGGAACAGGACATTCTACAAAGACTTCGAGAAAATGCTGCTCACCTTGGGGACATGCGCCGGGACCTGGCCCATTTGGCTGCGGAGGTGGAGGGCAAGTGCTTACAGTCAGGCTTCGAGATGCTTAAGGTTCGACCTTTGCCCCTGCATAGCCCCTCAGGTGGAACACAGTATAGTTTTGCACAGGCCAGTCTGTCAGCCAAGGGTGCTCACTCCCTTGCTCTACTTCCCCAAGTCCAATTCTTTCTTCCAGACTTACACAGAGGATCTTTTTCTACAGCAAGCTTCTCTGATTTTTCTCATCCCCTTCTAATCATTTTTGTGTTCTTATGTCTCATCAACAATTATGTGCTTAATTTGTTTTTGGGTTTTTTGTTTTTGTTTTTATTTTTTTGTTTTGTTTTTGTTTTTGTTTTATTTTTTTTTTGTTTTGTTTTTGTTTTTATTTTTTTTTGTTTTGTTTTTGTTTTTGTTTTGATTTTTGTGGTGCTGGGCATTAAACCCAGGGCCTTGTGCGTGAGAGGCAAGCACTCTACCAACTGAGCTATATCCTCAGCCCTTGTGTTTAATTTGTCCCAGAGAAAAAAAAAAATCACCCTTGAGAGGAGTCTAGTCTACGTAGTAAAAAACTATGCATTAAAAATTTTGTAAATATAGTTTCCATTACTTTTTTCATCCTAATACTTGATTTACCTAGTGCTAAAAAGAAAGTTAGTTTAAAGGATACTTGAAAATATGTATAAATAATAACAATGCTTTTGATATGTTAATGATGCCTCTAAATGTTTGAAATAGTTTTGTTCTCTTCAAAAGATGCATAATGTTAGTAAGGCTATAGGGTACATATTTCTTAAGAGACCAGGATACCAGCATTTGAATCAGTGAAGCTTCATTGTATGTTGTTTATCTGCATGTTATGTATTGCTTGGTATTGATTGCCGTCCTTTCATGTATGTATGTTCTGCATTAAATTGGGAAATCCTTGTAGGGCAGAAATTTGTCTTCTTTGTCTTCTGGACCCCAAGTATTCTCAAATCAGGGTTGGCACACACTTATTGTTTATTAACCCGTGCCAGATAGGGAATACCAAACCACAATGGGAAAGTGTGATTTGTTCTATGCCACCAATCTGGAACTATCTGTACTGATTCTCGAGGAGACTGAGGTATGTGATTGGTACTTGGGGAACAGAGTAAAGAGAGACACAATATGTATACCTTGCAGGGAGCTCCCAGTGTCCTTGAGGAGTAAAGACAAACATACAAGAAACCATTTGGAAGTGATATAAATTACCAAGCTTCCGGATGACCAACAATTGAAAGTGGAGATTATTTTAAGAGAGATGTATTCAGATCCCTCTGGAACTCTAACCCTTGCATTATAACTATCAGTTTGCACTGTGCCTATTCTATAGATCTAGAACTTTGGGGATAAGGGGGGGGGGGACCTTTTGCCTTCAGGACGCTTGAATGCCAGGACCAATCTTGCTTTCTTTTCTCATTTCCTCTAGGATGTCAAAAGTACCCTGGAAAAGTAAGTGATTCTTATATCTTTCTGAGTAAGTTAGGTCTTGGCTTAGAGACTAAAGGTATTATAATGATTTGGGGTAGTAAGGATGGGAAAAATCATGCAGTATCTGGATAGGACATGGGAGAGGTTCATGGCAGCCATGAAGCCAGGTAGAGAACAAATCATTAAAAGTAATAATTCCTTACTTTTTCCCCTTTAAACATCAGGACTTGGTTGGTAAGGACAATGATAATGTAGAACCATATTCTGCTTGTACCTGTGGATGGAATTGTGTCAAAACAAGAGGGCAGGAGAAAGGGGATGGGAAAGCAAGAAGGATGATTATCATTTGCATGATAATCATCTTATACTAAGAATACCCCATGCTGGGCACCATGAGGCATGCCTATTAATCCCAGCTACTTGAAGCAGGAGGATTGTAAATTCAAGGCCAACCTGAGTAACTTTAGTCTCAAAATAAAATACAAAAAGGGCTGGGGATGTTAAATAGTGGTAGAGTGCCTAAGGCCCTGGGTTGGATTCCAAGTACAGAGAGAGAGAGAGAGAAAAGTAAGTTTAGAGGTTTATTCTCAAGATAAGTATCAGTGTAGGAGAGCAGATGGCTCTCCACCGATAACACAAGAAAGCAGTTGTTTTCAGGGAGAAGATAGAAAGTGGGAAGATGGAGAATTTTAGTTTCTCCCTAAAGACATCTGAATATTCACTTGACTGGTATCCCCTGACCCTGCCCTTTCTCCCCCTATCTTTCTATCTGTCCTAGATGTGAGAAGGTGAAGACCATGGAGGTGACTTCAGTATCCATAGAGCTGGAAAAGAACTTCAGCAATTTCCCCCGACAATACTTTGCCCTAAGGAAAATCCTTAAACAGCTAATTGGTGAGTTGCTCCCAATCTTTTTTTTTTTTTTTTTTAAAGAGAGAATTTTTTTTTTTTTTTTTTAGAGAGAGAGAATTTTTTTAATATTTATTTTTTAGTTCTCAGTGGAAACAACATCTTTGTATGTGGTGCTGAGGATCGAACCCAGGCCGCACGCATGCCAGGCGAGCGCGCTACTGCTTGAGCCACATCCCCAGCCCAAGAGAAAAGTCTTTAAATCCTACCTTATATGGGCTTCAATTATTTCGTGCCCACTCCTACCTCCACCCCTTTAGTTGGCTTTCGGTCTCACCCTGAGTCACAGAACTCTGAGTGAAAGGAAGCCATAGATGTCGCCTACTTCTAAATCTACATTTTTCTAAATAGGGACCCAGAAAGGTTAAATAATTTACCCAAGACATCAGATGAAGTGGCCATAGAATTTACCGTCTCAGCTGGGGCAATGCTGAGCATGAACAGGAATAGCATAATATTTATGCAGGAAAAATAGTCATAAAGCAGAACCATTCCAAGAAAACAGATACATGCTAACCTAGACCATACTGCTGACTTGCTCTGGATTCTTCTTCCACTTTCTATTCTGGCCCTCATACCACACCTTGCACTTTTCCATATAGTGAGACAAATGAAGAAATCAGATGAGGAAAAGACAAGGACAGGAACCTATCCCCATAGAGACTTTTCTTTCAGAGTCAAGAGATCATTATCTGTTTATTTTAGGATAAGGGTGAAAAGTGAAGCCTTTGTTGCCTCCTTTTCCTTTGGTGACACTATGAATTGAGAATGTTAACCAACTCATGGTGTTCTGAGAACCTTTAAGGGACCAGGCTCTGTATATACAGGCAGGCTGAAAAAGTGAGGCAGGGGTGTTTAGCTATTCCCATCCTCATCTAGCTCCCCACTCTGGCTTCTCCCGCCAGCGGATGTGACCCTGGACCCTGAGACTGCTCATCCTAACCTAGTCCTGTCAGAAGATCGTAAAAGCGTCAAGTTTGTGGAGACAAGACTCCGAGATCTCCCTGACACGCCACAGCGTTTCACCTTCTACCCTTGCGTCCTGGCTACTGAAGGTTTCACCTCAGGTCGACACTACTGGGAGGTGGAGGTGGGGGACAAGACCCACTGGGCAGTGGGTGTGTGCCGGGACTCTGTGAGCCGAAAGGGCGAGCTGACTCCACTCCCTGAGACTGGCTACTGGCGTGTGCGGCTGTGGAATGGGGACAAGTATGCAGCCACCACCACACCTTTTACCCCTTTGCACATCAAGGTAAAACCCAAGCGGGTAGGCATATTCCTAGACTACGAGGCTGGCACGCTATCATTTTACAACGTCACAGACCGCTCTCATATCTACACCTTTACTGATACGTTTACTGAGAAACTTTGGCCCCTCTTCTACCCAGGCATCCGGGCTGGTCGGAAGAATGCTGCACCACTTACCATAAGGCCCCCAACAGATTGGGAGTGACAGGTTGAGATGTGGGATTAACTGGGGTGAGGCAGGGTCAAAAGCTATGGGCCTTCCTTCTTGTGTCCTGCTGGAACGTCTTGGTGTCTGCCTGGTTCCAGTCCTGAGTCATCTTGGAGAAACATTCTGGCCTCCGGGATGGTTTGTGTGGAGGAGTAGGTAGGACTGGGCTGCATGATGGAGCACGGGTATGTCTCCCTCCTCACCGTGGGGAGCTGGTTGCCAGGAGAATGTCTCCCTGACATCCATCAGGTTTTCTATTGCACAAGGAAAGGTTGGGAAGGAAGGAGAGACTTCCAGAAACAAAAAGTCTATGGGAGAGTCTAACTTGCTTAAGTAGGAGGAGAAAACAGAAACCCTTAGGGACTTCTTTGACCCAGAATAGACTTGTTTTTTGAGGAAAATCACAGGGGTTGGTGTACGTCTAGATTGAAAAAAGATGAATGACCATTGCTGTCATGGGTCTAGAAGTTGAATTTTTCTGAAGGCAGAGTTTGGACATCAAAGTAGATTACAAAGAAGATCAGGTAAGAGGACTAAAGCAACAGATTCCTAGAAACCAATGAAGGAGAGGGAAGTTTCTTCGGTGTTCTATTCCCAGGGTAAGGTTGCCATTGTGAGTAGGATTGGCCAGAGGTAGGAATGTGGAGAAAAGGAAAGGATGGGAATAAAGGAGAACCTTTGTCCCTACCTTGGCCTTCTGCTGGCTGTTTGCCTGCCTCCTCACAGTCGGTGGTCTCCAAGAAGTTGCACTGCCTGTTCCTCTTCAGAGGCAAGGGGAAGAGATTGTGTAAGACACAGCTACACTTACACTTTTCCCAAAAGAACTTGGAGAGCAGAGAGTCAGGTATTAGAGAAAAGAGAAAAGTATATCTATCCAAAGCCCTGGCCTTAAAGAATGTTACTGAATAACTATTCCCAAGTCGTTAGCCTTGTCACCTGGCTCAGGTGTCCAAGCCAGAAAGGAAGAAAGATAAGGGAGTCTTTCTCACCCTGAAGACAGGGTACATTTAGGAAAGGGCTGGATAGGCAGCTTCCTTTTTGCCTGTGCATTGGCCTGGAACTAGTGTTCACAACAGCCTTTTGCTTGTTTGTTGCCATCCTTCACCCTTTGCCATTCCCCTTTTTGAATGTAAATCATTTTAATGTTAGGCCAAAATAAACAACCTATAGGGTATATATGTTGTCAAAAAAAGGTAAAGAGATGCATGCCAAACCAAACTAAAACATCTTGGATATCTGCTGCTTGGGTAATCTTCACAGAAGACTGACACAAGAAGCTGCATTTTACTGAGGGCATTTCAGTTCCTCTTACCACCTCAACAGGACTCTGTCCACTTTCCTCCTCTTACCTTTGTGCCTTGACTGTGGTTCTTTGTGGCAAGATACTTTGGTTGGTAAAAATAATATGGAACAAAGGATCCACTGAAGTGATCTCTGTGTCGAGTGCTAATTTGGGCATGGCCTTATGTTTATTGTAAAATCACTGGGTGTGAACAATGCATGTTCCTGGGTCTTGCCTGCAGTGTTTGATCAATGTCTGGTTGGACCTGGGGATCTCAACATTTTAAATACATTCCTCATTCAAATCTGAGGACCCTTGCTAAACTTCACCTAGAGGAGGTTTTAGCCAATTTCCTTTTTCTGAGAAGGGAGCAGGATATCACCCTCTCCTGACTTATACTGCCCTCTCTATCTTAGTGTTCAATCATGTTTTGTACCTCCAGTTTTAATTCCTCTACTTTTGACCTCAGAAACTAGTTGTCATTAACTGGGTATCGGTGATAAACACAGGATGCCAGACAACAAATGGGAGGCAGAAAGAGGTCAGAGGAGTGTGAAGTTGATGTCTCTGTGGATAAAGTAGGCTGCAGTCTGGGCAGAGGATACTGTTGGCAGTTTGCTGTACATACAACAAGGAATTTAAAACTATTCACTGAGCAAGTAGGGATCACCTGCTACATGTCCAGCACTGTAACAAGTGTTTCATTGGTAAGTGTAAAAGTGGAACCAGGCTGTGCTGAGGGCCAGGAGCCCTCCTTCCTTATCCTGCCACCCTCATGACCCTTTCCACTTTGACCTCTGAGGACACCAATTTTTTGTTGTTTTTAATGTAAGCCTCTATTCCTTCACTCTGTAGATTTTCCAGGAAACTGCCTTTGACTTAGTAGAGCAGAAGRTATAAGTTGCACATAACCATTTCCCCAATCTGTCTGCATGAGGAAACCAGATTTATCTCCTGAAAATATTTCCCACTTTTAAGAACCTCTCCTGGGCTAGGGTTGTAGCTCAGTGGTCGAGCACTTGCATAGCCCGTGTGAGGCACTGGGTTCTATCATCAGCACCACATAAAAATAAAGGTATTGTGTCCATCTACAACTAAAATAATAAAAAGATCCTCTCCTGCCCATTTGCCGCTCCAGTCTCTACTAAGTAGATCGTTTTAAGGAACATTGAAAGGAACTCAAAAGTCATAAAGGGATCCTGTGCTGGATTGGCAGAGAACAGGTTCCCAAACCTAAGGCTGCGGGCCTGGGCACTACACCTCCCAGAAGGCCTTGCGCGGGCGCAAGGGGCGGGGCCTGCGAGCGGTCCGCTTGTTGCTGGGGCGCCCGGATGGCSGGACCAGTGAAGGACCGCGAGGCCTTCCAGAGACTCAGCTTCTTGTACCAGGTGAGTGAGCAAGTGCCGCGTGGGGAAGGGATTCTGGTGCGCCGGGCCCTGGAGTGACCGCTGCCTTCCCCCAGGCCGCCCACTGTGTCCTTGCGCAGGACCCCGAGAACCAGGCGCTGGCGAGGTTTTACTGCCACACGGAAAAGACCATTGCGAAGCGACTAGTCCTGCGACAGTGAGACGGCGCGGGTCTGGGCGGTGGGCGGGACCGAGAAGGAAAGGCGAGGGAGCGCGGGCATTCAGACGACCTTTCCCCCTCCGCCCCCAGGGACCCCTCGGTGAAAAGGACCCTATGTCGCGGCTGCTCCTCCCTCCTCATCCCTGGCCTCACCAGCACCCAGCGCCAGAGACGTGAGTGCTCCTGGCAAAATGGGGTGGTTGCGGAGCACGGGAAGAGGGGAGGGCGGGGCCAAACCGCTCCATCCTCACCTTAGATGGGTAGGGCTTTGGATATGCTGGAGCCAGCTTTCTCTAGGTCTGAAATAAAGGTTTTTTCTTTGTTTGCTTTTTGTACCGAGGATTGACCTCGGGGACACTCGGTCACTGAGTCACATCCCCAGCCCTATTTTTGTATTTTATTTAGAGACAAGGTCTCACTGAGTTGCTTAGCGCCTCTCTAAATTGCTGAGGCTGGCTTTGAACTCGCTATCCTGCAGCCTCTGCCTCCGCCTCCGGAGCCGCTGGGATTACAGCTGTGCACCACTGCGCCCCGTATAGATTAAATTTCTAATATCCCTGGGACAAACTAAAGTCTGGGCTTGGCTTTTATTCCTATTTGGGTAGAAGAAAAATTATGCCTTAAGAGGCAATCTCACCGAGGCACAATAACAGATACTGTGTGGTAGCACCTTTCATTCGTTCACTCAAGAAATATTTCTTTTCTGCCAATCGCAGTGGCGCAGGCCTGTAATCCCCGCTGCTGGGGGAGGCTGAGGCAGGAGGATCGCAAATTCAAAGTCGTCTCAGCAACTTAGAAGCCCTAAGCAACTCAGTGATACCTTGTCTCTAAATAAAATACAAAAAGAGCTGGAGATGTGACTCAGTGGTTGAGTGCTCCTGAATTCAACCCCTGGTACTCCACCCCCCACCCCTGCCAAAAAAAAAAAAAAGACCTTATTTGCTAAAATATGTCAAGTACTATATTCAAATTACACCCTGGAGAGATAGACTAAAATAGAAACAAAAGAATGTAGGGGAGAAAAATGCTTTAATTGAGAGGAGGGTAAAGTAGAATGCTGAATTATTTATGCCAGTGGTGATGAGGTACATGATAAATAAAGGGAGCTAGAGAGAGAAATTCTAAGCATGGATGAGAATTTCCAGACTTGAGAATTTGTGGTACTGTCAAGGAAATCAGAGTTGGGGAGGCTGGAATTTGAGTTCACAGGAGCAAGAGTTGAGGGAAACAATCCATATCTTTATCCTGTTAAGGAATTTAGTTTTTGTCTTAAAATTCCAAGAAATTGATTGGTGCTGAGGCCTGATGCCATGAAATTTACATTCAAAGTGGGAGTAGGGAATAGGATTCCTACTGGAAAAACTTGGAGGCAAAAGGAGGAACCTGGGCACTTTTCCTTTTTCCCACCTTTACCCCAGGCCGCAGGGGACAACGTTGGACAATACAGACCTGCCTGACATGCCAGCGCAGCCAGAGGTTCCTCAATGACCCCAAGCATCTGCTCTGGGGAGACCGGCCTGAGGCTCAGCTGGGGAACCAGGCAGGTGAGAGGTGGTACACAAAAATAGGGGCTATGGGGCTAGGGATATAGCTTAGTTGGTAGAGTACTTGCCTCGCAAGCACAAGGCCCTGGATTCAATCCCCAGCACCACCAAAAAAAATGGAGGATATAGAGGACACATAGGTGGTACGGGTTGATGTAAGGGGTGCCAGTCTTAGAAAACTAATTCTGCTGATCTCCCCAGATTCTAGACCACCACAGCCCTTGCAAAACACAGCTCATCCCATTCCAACCCACCTTCCTAAAGAGCAAGCTCAACCTCAGGTTCCAATAACCAGTGACGGATTCATMCCATCTTCCAGATAAATAAAGTTTAATTCTTTTTCACTTTGAATGATTCTGTTCTCTGGGTATTTTAATTCCCAGTTCCATTTTCCTCTATTTCTGTCTGTATTTCTTGATCAACATCTGACCTCTCCTTTATCCTTCCAATGTTTGTACTCCCAGCATACTGTAGGGAGATCCCAAATTCTATAGACCACTTAATCCCATTAAGCAGTTCTCCTTTCCAGAGCCTTGACTCCATTGCCCCATCACTCCTTGCTCAGGGCAATACTGTGTTTGGGACTTGTGTTTCACAGTTTCCTGCAAGAATCTGAATTCCTTGGAGCATTCCATATTTAGATGGCCCTGACTGTTGACTAAAGAGGTAGACAGAATATCTATGTTGCTGCTGCTGTTTTTATTTAAGCAAGGGTGAAAAGATAGCAGTGAGGGAGTATTCATGTCTTTCTTGCCTACTCAGGGTTGGTCTTTTCCTTATCTCTGAGTAATCTACAAAATTCTGATCAGGGAAATGGTACAAACTTGAAATAATAAGGCCAAGGGTACTAACAGAAGGATACTGGCAGATAGTACACAAGTATACCCATAGGTAAACTCTCAAATTTTTCTTGAGAATTGGTAAAAAACTAAAATGCTTTCTAAGAGAACCCTAGAGAGCCTACTCAAGACAGAATTCCCAGACTAACCTCTTTAATAGCTTCCAGGTAGTCATGTTACCCCCCAAATACACAAATTTACTATTCCTAGAATGCAGTTTTGTTTCTTCCCTTTCTCTTATAAACCCTTTGTTGCACCTCTCTATTGTTGCATGAAAAATCACTTCAGGGGCTGGWGTTGTGGCTCAGCGGTAGAGTGCTCGCCTAGCATGTGCGAGGCGCTGGATTCAATCTTCACCACATAAAAATAAATAAAGGTATTGTGTCCAATTACAACTAAAAAATTTTTTTCAAAAAATCACTTCATAATATCATGGCCTAATATAGCAATGAATCTTCATTAGGAATTCTGAAAGATCTTAACAGTAATTCTGTTCCATATGGATGGAATCAGCTAGAGTCATGGCTGCATTTAGCTAGTGGCTGGTAGGTAACCTGGAAGACCCAATAATCTGATATCCCCTTGGCCAAAGCAAGCCATGTGGCCAATTCAACATGGAAGGGGCTGTGTCAGAATATGAATACTGGGAGGTTCATTCATTCCCTGGGGACCACAAATATAATCTACCACTTGCCTTTGCCCCTGACTTTGTTTCTCCACTGACTCCTTCATGTGTCTGAGAATTATTTACATACAATATTCTAAACAGTATACAAGTAATGAAATGTTTCTGAGTTATTATTTGACAGTTCATTTCTGGAATTGTGACTACTTGAATCAGTTATGACAGCCAACAAAAACATGTAGCCTGAAAGTACATGACCTGCATATCTGGACCCTTGGCATCTTTGTCTCACCTTCCCTGGCTCCCCAAGTGAGTCTCATTTCAGTTCTGAGCTCAAGATTGTTTTGAGTGTTTTCTGATGTCAGATGATGAAACATATCCAGAGTAGGTAAGCAGGGAGAACTTTGAGAGGCTTTTCATTTTGTTTGTTTCATTTTGAGGATTGAATCCAATGGGGCTCTACCACTGAGCTACATCTTATTTTTTTAATTTTGAATCAGGGCCTCACTAAATTACAGAGGCTGGCCTCAAATATGTAATCCTTTTTCCTAAGCCTCCCAAGTAGCTACGGATACAGGTATACACCATCATGCCTAGCCTGAAAGCCCTTCTTGGGGCTAAAAGGGGGGAGTAAGAATGTAGCTCAGTGGTAAAGCACTCCTGGGTTCAATACCCAATACCACTAAAAAAAAAAAAAAAAAAACAAGTTCAGTGACCTCTGTCTGAACCAGACTTTGGTGATATAGAAGTTCCTTCACTTTGACATACGGATGGCGCTCTGAAAACTGTCCCCATTGTTTTTTTCCTTTTATTTTCATTTTTGTTTTTGTTTAGGCACTGGGGATTAAACCTAGGGACACTCTATCACTGAGTTACATCCTCAGCCCTTTTTATTTTTTGTTTTGAAACAGGGTATCACTAAGTTGCCCAGACCGGCCTAGAACTTGTGATCCTTCAGCTTCATCCTCCCTAGTGATGGATTATAGGCATGCACCTCAGTGCCTGGCTCCTGTCTGCTTTTTTGGTTTTGTTTTTGTTTTATTAAATAAATATTTTTATACCCCTATTGAATCCAAAAATTCTAGAACTTTTTGGCACATTTATGTATTAATGGCTAGGAAAAGAGAGGTACTTTATAATCTTACTTGATGACTTAATGGACTTTGCAAAAGAAACTAAATTTCAATTGAATGCATAAGCCATAATGACAGATTTGGAATGAGAGGCAATCAAGGCTTCTAAAAGCAGATTTTAAAGTAGTATAGATAAAGTTTGTTTTTTTTCAATCAACCCAACCCATTTGTTGGAAAATTGGAGTATGTAGATTGGTCATTCGATATGGGCAATGACAAAAATTCAATTTAAATGTGTAGCTAATAAAAAAATTCAATTTAAAAATGTATCACAGGGGCTGAGGATATAGCTCAGTCAGTAGAGTACTTTTCTTGCATGCACAGGCCCTGGCTTCAATCCCCAGCACCACCAAAAACAGAAAAAGTATCATGGACTAGAGATATAGCTCAGTTGGTAGAATGTTCGCCTCACATGCACAAGGCCCTGGGTTCAATTCCCAGCCACACACACACACAAATGGATCATTTGTCTGCTGGTGTTCCTTCCAGCTGATGAAATTCCAGAAGATTCTAATGAACTAAAATTGTATTTCCCCTAAGAAGTCTGTGAACTTAATGACTGGTTTGAAAATGATTTATGTACAAGGAAGAATAAGAAGACATTTGATACAGTGGTTCTGCTGTTCGATCACCATGATTGTTTCCTCCAAATTAATGATCTGTATGTGAGTGAATGGGGTATGAATTATCATGTACCCAAAACAATGTAGAAGCATGGCACAGCAGATGGGAACATTTAATAAGGAACACTCATGTTGATGTAATTGAATCATGAAAGAATTCCAAAAAGAGTAATGCCATGTAGGAAATGAATGTGAGCCTTGTCTAAGGTGAGTCATGCCCTACAAGTAAAAAGTGGGGTGATGGGGAATCAGAGCTGGGAATGTAACTCAGTAGTAGAGCATGTGTGTTACCTAGCCTATACAAGGCCCTGGGAATTTAACCCAGAACTGCAAAACAAATTTGAAAAGAAAAAGCAGCTATTTATCACTATATAAGACTTTAAAATATAGTTAATAAGTTAATGATCATGAAAGTTAGCTAACTTTTACAATAACTTGTATGCAGTTGCTCATAATTTCTCCCTGTAATATACTTTTTTCATGTGCTGAATTTTCTTTTAAATTTAGTTTTAGAGTCTTTTATTTGTGTGTTTGTTTTGGTGTTTTCCAACTATTTTCCTTTTAGCTTAGTTTGGGGAATTTGTTAAGTGTTTTCTCATTTTTTTTTAATTGTCAGCATTATATTATAATTTGTAATATATATTTCATCATAACATGATTTCAAATACTGGAGGTATAAATTGTAGTAAGATTTTTAGGAAAAAAAGACTTTAGAGAATTCTAATTTGCCTTATGAAGTTTTTGCAAATTTGATGCCAGGAAAATACAGTATCAATATTTTGGCTTTTAAATGTTTTGTGTGTACTACAAACTTTGAAACTTCCTCAGTACCTCAGTAAATGAAGAGTTGTCTTTTTTTTTTTTTTTTTTTTTACAACTGCATTTGTGAAAGATAAAATTTCTCAAGATCTCAGTTCTGTGTGATTGCATGTGTTATGGTGTTGACTCAGCAGGTTTTGATTTATTTCCTCAGAAGACTTAGGTCGTCCATCACCCATTGTATTTCAGATGACCACAGCTATAAAGCTGGTTTCACGTGCTTACCAATGATAATGATACATATTTATATCTCACTTTTTGATCTATTTGTTTATGAGTACAGTTTGGGGCTAATAAATGTTACATCCATATAACTATTTTTTCTCTGAGTATTGATGTATGATATTGCTTATTTTAATATGAAAGGTAGTCTTAAAGGAATCTATTGTTTTTGTTTCTCAAATGTTCTTTCAAAGTATAAAAAAAGTCAAATTTTTTATTATTTTTTCAGAATTATATTTTTGAGATTTTGATCTTTCTGGATTTTAGACAAGAATTTTTATCCTTCAGGATTTCAACATTGGGATTAGGGTATTCAGAACCCAATATGCATATGGTAACTATAATTTCCCTGTATGGTATTCATGCCTCAAATAGTGCTGGGTGTTCCCAATTTATGGACTTTTTTTGTTTTCTTAATATCTTCAGATTTGATTCCTTGTGCTGTAGGGAAGAAAGGACTGTTACCCACCCATTGGCTTAGAGTGGGAATAGGGACTAAGAATCAAGCTGTTTATTAAATCTTCCAAACAATCCTTATTATGGTGACTTTTTTTCTTCTGAAAGTACCTGACACTGTCCATTCTGAGCCTTTTGGAGACTTGTGTTGTAAATCAGAAGGAAATTGTTCTGTTTCAAAGGAACCAGGGCAATAATTCATCATATTAGCAACCTAACATGGAAAAGACATATAATAATCTCAATAAAGGTGGAAAAAAATTTGATAAAATCTAACATCCATTCTTGACAAAAATCTCTTAGCAGATGAGGAATAAATGACAACTTCAGAAAGGCCTATATGACAAATGGCCAACAAATATATGAATATATTGTTAGGACTTATGGAAAATGCAAACCAAAACTACACTGAGATTTCATTTCACTCTAATTGGAATGGCAGTCATCAAGAATAAAATTATAGGCTGGGGTGGTGGCTCAGTGGTAGAACGCTCACCTAGCGCCTAGTGTGTGTAAGGCACTGGATTCAAACATCAGCCCCACATGAAAATAAATAAAATGTGGTATTGTGTCTGTCTACAACTAGAAATAAAAATTTTTAAGAAA